TGATCACGCACATCTTAAGTTTTAACAAAATTTGATAAGTAAGACACTCACATTTAAAATTTTTAGAATTTAATTTACTTTTCGTCTTACGAAATAGTTCAAAGGACAAATAGACAGAAAATGTGTTAGTGTGTGTGGGTTATAAAAGATATAAAAAAAAAATTGCTAAGTGAAAGAAGAAGAAGAAAATATTATGTTAGAATTTTCAAGGATAATTTTTTGTTTGTTTCTTTTTTTCTTAAATAACGTGTTTTCTCTTAAAATTTAGTATATAAGATGACTGAAATCATTTTATGGCAATGAGATGTTATCGAATGTTAAAAAGAGTGTTAAAAAGTATAAAATAAGACAGAAAATACACTCGTACGTTACACAATTTATATTTTTTAGTGATAGTAGTGATAAAATTGCCTCTGGGGCCAGAAAGTGTAAAAAATTGTTTTTATTTTATTATTTTAACTTTTATTTTATGTTTTTTATTTTCTTGTTTTCTACGTCTATTTTTTATTTTCTTTTATATATAAAAAAACATGGTCTCAGTAAGGACCAATCACTTCGAAAACATTATGACTTTAAAACAAATTCTATTTTGTATTTTTTTTTGTTACAGTAGAAATAAAACCCGAAAAAAAAAATTAAAATAATTTTTATAATGTGTCTGACTGCCTTGCTAAAATGAAAATTTTTTCTTGGTTATTGATCATTAGGCTCTCACACAAATTAATCTTGAAAATGAGGGATTAAAATTAAAATATTAAGAGAATTTATAATAGTTATAGAAAAAGAACATTACTCATAACTCTCATACAAACCAAAATTTTAAGTTTTCTCCCATACGGCTCTCTGTATTTGCAAAAAAATTATTGACAACGTAGCAGTTGTGCGACCAATCCTTACCTGTGGAACACTTATGGTCAACGGTGGGAAAAACATGAAAACAGTGTGCTGAAATATGATCGGTCACAGTAATATCCTAGGGTCGCTTATGGTGAACAGCAGATATGAAAACCCCAACTACATGCCCAACAATTTATTAATTATGGAAGTATGCCAGTAGGCTAACATTTCTCCTCAGAAAATTATGTCGCAATCGCGAGGTGGACCTTTTTTAACAATATCTGCTGGTATCCGGCTCTAGTCGACATCAAACAGCTCACGTTGGGTTGAAAATTAATAGGGTGGCTGGAAGGGTATAGAATATTGATATCGAAGATCCGACAAATTTCTCAGAAGAAATTGATAATTTAGGGGATTCGACTCATAATCGAACATTCTATGATAATTTGGTAATACGTGTTGGTGGTAGAAAAACAGCCTTTAGCGCCAAATGCATTAACTAACCACATCAACTAATCTGATTCTTATACAACAATAGCTCTATAGTTCAGTTCAATTTTTTTTTATAATTCAATTGCATTAAATTTGAGCTCAACTCTAACATAAGTCAACCTTATACATAATATGCTTTAACACTTTATTCGCTATTTGCATTTCCTTTAATAAAACTATCAAATTTTCCGGTTATTTAACACTAATAATGACTATATAAAATATTTTTATAATCTATTTAAATTACTAGATTTAAAAAAAAAAAAAAATGTTTGAATTTAATTTTAATTTATGAAATAATATAATAAAAATTAAAATAAGCTTTATGAAATTATTTTTTAACCTATGGTAGCCAATCTCTCTTCCAGATCATTCAATAAAATTATAAATTAATTTTTTTTTTTTGTTTTATTATTAAAATATCTCACTTCACATTACAACTTTAATTTTTTTTTAAATACTTTAATAACTAATATATATTTTATAAATAAATTAAATTGAATATAATTGAATGTATCCTTTGAAAAAAAAAAAAAGTCAAAAATAAATAAAAATAAATAAAAAAATATTTTAAAATTTAAGTAAATTCGGATTCGGTCAATGGTTTGTAAAGTAGGAAATTTCACTTAAACAAATTGAATTTTCTACTTAAGTCATTCACAAAGTACATCGCTTATTACATTTTGTACTAAATAATTATTGCATAGTTTTGGGATGAGAGCAATAAAAAATATTGCATATATTTAGGAGATGATAAAACATATGCCGTTATTCTACTGCATACTACAGAACAGAAATATTAATTTTGCCATAACTGATGACACACTCTACCTCTCTGCTGTAAGAGAATGCCCACAGGGCGGGGTTCTTTCACTCCTTCTGTGGTATATTGATGTGGATGACTTGATCGTTCCTCTCAGAGTCTCTGGAGTTAGAGTATTAGAATATGCTGACGATGTTGCTTTTATCATTCGAGGCAAGTCTGAGAGCATGATCTCTGATCTTCTACAATAGAATCAAAATGTGTTAGGAGAGTACCGCAAAGACGTGGGGCTACATATAAATCCCAGGAATATCACATTAATTTTCAGAAAATGTAAGCGCAGCGAATGATTAACGAGTCCCATTTTGTTTGGTGAGCATTTTTCGTAATGCGGGTAACCCTATTTGATTGCTTATCCTGGAATACTCATATAGACAAAGTCATCGAAAAAATAACGACGGCTTTTTGGACGTACAGCAGTTTTGTTGTCAAAACTTGCTGTATTAGTCCCTGGAGGGTCTTCCAAGAAATATTCTGGAGGAGTTTGTTAGCAGGAAGGTCGATTAACGACTTACCAATTTCTTACTGGTGATAATGTCGCCAGGGTATTTGTAAAGATTGTATAAATTTCATAAACAGACGAACGAAGAGAGCCACTTTAATGAGCATATTTCTTTTTACATAATTTCAATGGAAATATACTCAACATAGATTGTGAAGAGTTTAAAAAAATACTGCATAATTATAATTTAATTTTGGAAATTTAATTTATTTTTTAATGTTAATCCGAAAAATATTTTTTTTATTAATTCAATCAAAATTAAAATCATCCGATGAATGAATGAGTTAAGAACATTTTTCCATCATTTTTTTTTTAAATATTTTAACCGGATATTAAATAATGAAAAACGGATATAAAAGTACAGTTTAAAAAAAAAAAAAGAAAATGAATTCAAATTAAATATAAGTAGTGCAAATTTGTTTGTTTGTTTTTTTTTTTTAATAAATAAATTAACTTTAATGTATTTGGGATAAAATTTTGTATGTAAATTTCATATTTAATTTTTTTTTCTTGTTTATTTATTTAAATTAATATTTAAATAAGTTGATTTTATTTTGAATTTTTTTTTTTTGTAAGCTTTTCCTGCTTATTTTTCTTTGTTAAATATCACAACCAAAAAAAAAAAAAATTAACCAATCAAGCATAAATCTATATATCCACGTATATCAGGAGATCCAAATGATTTATGACATTAATGAGAAAATTTTTTGAATACAAGCTGGAGGGAGAGGGTCGGAGTAGTTTTTTTTTACATATTTAATGTCCAAATAACTTTAAGAGGATTAATGCATTTAATTAACAAAACATATTCGGGCATAAGCAGAAAAACAGAAAATATGCTCACATAATAATTATTTTGTATTAAATATGACATTAATTTAAATATTAATTAAATAAGTATGAGTATAATTTGCCAGCTTAAAAAGTTTTAAAGTCTCTATATATTTATAAACATCCGAGTGGATTATTGCAAACAAATACTTTTTTCAGATTGAAAAATAATTTCCAAGTTTCAAGGGAATTTTATTTTTCTTTTTCGCAAATGTATATTTAGAGTTATAGCAGAGTATTTTGTAAAATTATTATGTTTTGTATATAATATGAACAAGGTCGGCTATAATATAAGCTGGAAGAGTCGTATATTATAAATAGTCCCCTTCTTGAAAGAATAAAATATGGTTATAGTCATGTTAATTAAGGTAAATAAAACTACGGCAGATTAGTCACCTACCTAGTTAAACTCTATGACGCTATGAAACTAGTGCATGAGAAATCGTGCACTAGCCCTATGCTCCTTCTAGGAGTGAATAAGGAAAAAAAAAAAAAAAAAAAAAAAAATAGTCATGTTAATTATAAGAACAGGGTGAGAATGCACTTCAAACCATCATTAGTTAGTTCTATTGAGCCCGACGATTTCATATAGAAATGGCAGCCAAAGCACTTCCCAGAGGGTCAATACCCTTCCGATGTCAAAAATATAAAAAAATACATATAATTTTTCACCTCCAAGCAAAGTACAAGGCTGCTGTATGACATATAATAGAGTCAGTCATTAGTCATTTCAGGAGAACTATAGGCTGCTAATTATAGTCTACCGCATAACTTGAAAGTTATCAATATATTGAAAGTTTAAAGTACTGGATACTGAGGTCTATAATGTTGAATAATTTTTTTTTTTATTTGGGACCTGATTAAAGTTTGAACCTAAGAGGCTCCGGTTGAAGAATCGGTGCTATTACTACTGCACTATTGGTCAGATTACAAATAATGCAAAAAAGTTGAAAAATGTGACAGTTAAGCTCATTTTTCAAGACAAGCAAATTAAAAATGTAAAACCTAGGAAAATTGCAGTAAAATGAAATTTAAAATCTCAATCAACTCAAATATATAAGCTTACGTAAATCAAAATCCTCAAATAGCTAAATAGAAAACACCAGCAAAATGAAGTTAAATGCAAAATTCGGCAAAAGCCGGTTTTTCGCAAATAACATTGAAAATTGAGAAGAGGGTTAATGATTAAGATAAGTGGGGCGGGCTTTTAATCAAGTTTAAAAATTTTCTACCAACACTTGTTTACTGATGATTTCACTCTTATATGTTCCAGATCCACCCCACGTAGTAGGTTTATTTATTTATGGTATTAAATTTTTCATCTTTATTCGTTAATTCCATTAATAATTCACTGATTTACGACAGAAATGAAAAATTTCCCCGTATAATACTTCGGTTTTTATCCCACTTTTTTGTTCTCCCAACATCCTTTTTTTAAATAATTTGCAACACATTATGTAAGCATTAAACTTAATTAAATTTATACAATATTATAACCATAAAATAACCACTCACCTCACTATCATTGCTATGCAATTCAAGATCAAAACCAGGTAATATATTTGGTGAACGATTAACATCAACCAATGCCATTTCTGCAGCTGGCATACATGCTTGTCCACCCTGCCATCCTCCTTTACCTTGTATTGGAAATATACCTCCAATATGTAATTGATTTGGTTTACCAATTGTCACAGCTGATTTTAATATAAAAACTAAAAAGATAAATAATTTCCAAAATGTCACAACACCATCACATGTCATATCCTGCAGAAAAAAAGGATAAAAAATAATTATTAAAAATCTTAAAGAATTTTTTAACAATAATTTTTCGGTAATTTGTTGAGTGTGAAAAATAATGTATAATATATTCTATAATTATGTAATTGGAAAAAATCCAAGAATATTATTAAAATTTAATTAAGAATGAAAGTGAAGCAAAATTAAAAAATTGTGGCCACAATATTAAAAACAATGAAAATTTTTCATTAAAAAACCAAAGAAAATGGAGCATGATACGCCAACATTCGACAACGTAAGTTAATAAAATTTCTTTATAATTAAATAATAATTATGAAAATTACATTTTTGATAAGATTTTGTAATATTCTGTTCGAAAAATTAAAACTTAATTATTAAATGCATTTTTCTTATAATCAGAAATTACTTTTCTCTCGAATGATCGAAAAATAGAGGCAATTGAATTTTGTTATTAGGGACAACGACGGATGCACTGAAGGCGTTTTGTAATGAGTTCACGACAATCGTTTGTTGGGTTCTCGGTCAGAGGATGGCACGTTAGAATTGAGATGGCGAACTAACTGTCTTAGTTCGCCATCTAATTCTAAGTCCAGCAAAACCTTCAACGGTTGATTGTGCTGACGTAGTAGATAGATCGATGTTTCTGCCGCTAAAGGAATTTAGAAATATCAGAGATAAGGAAAGTAAAAGAATGAACGAGGTCTTGTTGAACCAGGCTCGCAAGTGCAGAATTTCTGGAGCGATGAGGCGATACAGAGATGAGAAATGTACGAAAGCGTTTTTGGAATATAGTCGTCTCTTGTCATCACTGTATTTTGGTGAAGACGGTCAATAGACTGATTTCGAAGTGAAAGAGGTGAAACAAATTCTCTGTAATAGCCTGTTTCTGATGTTAAAGAGAAATGGGAGGCCCTCTTTTACAATATTTATCTTTACCTCGGTTTTTGGGATTCGTTAAAAATATTAAATGATTTACGCGCGTTCTTATTTCTCTCGGAAGGGCTAGTTGGGGTCAAAGGTTGTCGAATGTTTTAATTTGAACATTTCCGATTAGCATTTTTATTGGCTCAGAGCGGGGCAACTATTTTAGGGTATTAAAACACATGCTACATATTTTGTAAAAAAATTATACAAAAAAGTCTAATCTTTCAATTATTTGAATTTTCCAAAATGCAATTTTGGAAAGAACAAATTTTTCATATCAAATTAAAACATTTTATGCAATACTTTGTTTAAAAAATATTAATATAAGAACTTTTCAAGATTTCGAACAGATTCACAATGTTTATTTTATTCAAATTTTAAGTTTTAAGAGAAAATTCTCACTCCCATTAATAGATATTGGAAATTTTCATGCTAAATCATAAATCTATAGAATTAATTGAAAGTTTTAAGTAAAAAATTTAATTTAAAGTTTTTTTTTATTTAAAACTGAAATTGCATAAACTTTAGATAAATTTTGTTAAATCACAATAATAAACAATTTTATATTGTGAATTTATGAAAAATTTTCAGAGATAATAAAAACTTTCATGATTTTTTCTTAATTGTTTTCAATTTTTATCTACTTTAAAAAATTTACTAAACTATATAGAATTTTCTTACACACAACTGTACACAAGGTACTTTTTAATAAACTAAAATTTCTTATCAACTTTTAAAATACAATATATTCTTAAAAACTTACTTTAATTAAAATTTTAAATTTGATATTAAAACTAAAGAGGCGGTGGCTGGGGGAGGGAGGCGAGGAATTTGGTTTTTTTCTTGAAAAAATATATTAAACTTTTTATATCACAACTTTGAAATTGCAAGTTTTTCAATTTGACTATACAAAACAATTTAAGCAAAACAATTAAAAATAATAATTGAATTTTTTTTTTAAAAAGCTTTTACGTTTAGAGAACATCCTAAACAGGATATTTTTAAGGGCGTCCAAGGCAATTTTTTAAGAAATGAGTTGAAAATTATGTATAAGAAATTGTCAAATAACACAAGCTAGCTCGTTTATTTATATCAGATGATTGCTTATGGTACAAGTATTTAGTATAGCAAAATTAATGTCACTCATAACCGACACATAGCCGTGACACTTATACCTAAAACTCAAACCTATACAACTAGTGCAATTCGAATAAGAAAGCGTCATCTTCTAAACAAAGAATAAATTAAACAAGATCAATGTTACCATAGATTGTGAACTTATAAGCACCTGCTTACTAATATTCGTACAAAAAAGTCGACGGATATTTTAAATAAAATTTTTCAGAAAATTTTTGATTAAAGTGTAAAGTTTTTGGAATTAAGTGCTCAACAAATTTTTAAAATAATTTTAATAATATTATTTTTTTTGTATAACAAATTGAAAATTCTCTCAATTAATTTCAATTGCTCCTTTATTCTCAATTAATTGCTTCTTGTCATTTATTCTCTTTTATTGTCATTATTTTAAATATTCTCTCGATGTTATCACCAAAAACATGCAAACAAAAAAATATTTAATGCAATATCTAAGAAAATTCTCTTTCTCTTTATAACGGTATGACATACTCTACAATAAATTATTAGATTGCATTTCAGTTGCAATTATACTCAATATTTTTATTGAATTTGCGAATTTGAAGTTCCGAATAATTGCGGAAAAATAATGAATAAAATTCCGTAATAGTAAAATATTATTTTTTCACCGTTAATATAAGAGTCACGTTTGTTTCCTGTAAAAAATTGTTTTTTTTTTTCCTAATTCCTTCCTCTCGTATAACAATAATAAAATATAAAAGAAGAAAAGTGAGAGAACCTACATTTATACTCAACTTTCCTATTCACATTAAAATTTCTCATAATATAGAAAATATTGTCATCAAAATCTTGAATATTTCTTTTCTCTTTCTACTGTATTTTTTCTCTTTTTTTTTTGTTGTATTCCATAAGGTATAATAAAATTTCATATAATAATAATAAAGATCAGAAAAATACTATCGTTTACTTTAATTTGCTTTATAAACTTTTAAGTAAAAATCACTTCAAAAATGCAAAAAATAAAAAAATAATAAATTTTTATATACACATTGAACCATCTTTGATGCCATAGAAATATCCTTAAAATAACACTTCAGGAATAAGGAAAACAAAAAAAAAGTGGAAGGAAAAAGAAAGATGAAATTCTATTTTCTAGCATTTGGTTATAAAATTTTTAGCCACCAGCATTTCCTTTTTTTTTTTTCTTTCTTCTTATTTGAATGATCTTTTCATTCTACCCAAACATAAGGAAGACTAAGACGAAGCAATTATGTGTGTGTGTATAGTTTAGTTTTCCTATATATTGTGTATAAAATGTAAACAAAAATATCTAAGAAATTCTTTTTTAAATATACTGTGAAACGAATCAAGTAATTGGAGCACAACAAAATATATTCTATATATACCAACAACTGGTATACAATGATAGGAAAAAAAATGGAGTATGTAAGCAAAGTTATCTATATATAATATTGGAAAAAACCAGATGAGTTAAAATTGTTTACGTACATTAAAGAGATTTTTGCCATTCTTTGAGCTACCTAAAATAAAGTTTATGATGCATATACAGAAAAAATATAGAGACTAAGTATGAATGGATGTTGGCTACTTGATAACAATAAGATAAAAATCAATACTTGAATAATCTTGGTCTATATGAAGAGACAACCTAGAAAAAGAAAGAAAAAATATTGTTATAGAAAAAGACAAAAAATTTTTATTTATTTTTTTTTGTAGATTTTATCAAGAAAAATATTATAATAAGTTTGTACAGGGAAAAAGGATTTCAATAAAGAAAGAGTTTAGTTCAACCTAATTGAACAGAGACGAGTTTTGTACAATATTTTTAACAAAAATTTGATAAAAATATGGTAATTTTAATGCTAATAGCTATATTGGAAATTTCGGGGGCCAATTGTTGCTTTATTATTTGCACCAGATTTTTTTTTTTTTGTGAAGTTGCCCCAAGTAACATCCGTGAAATACTGAGGAACACAAGGGACGAAAACTATAGAAAATTCGACTGAAGCTCAAAGAGGCACACGAGCTTCTTGGAAATTACGGTGTTTGAAAACAATTATGAAGATGTCGAGTGACCCATGTTAGAATGATCACGAATTCAGGCTTAAGTAACATCTGAAAAACTAGGAAAGGGGAATGATTGGTTTTATATACTCTATAAGAGAGAAGAAGAGACACCAGTGCACCTTGCTAGAGAACGCACATCGTTGTTTTATATGGGAAGCGATTGTTTAAATACGACTTCAGCAATGATAATGTATTAATCCAAGATATTGCTTCGGACAGTTGCTCGGGTTCATTGAAGTCGTAGGTCTTAGAGAAGTAAGACCGGATACTAAGTGCTTTGAAAGAAGCCTCAATAGATATTTTAGGTAGCGAAATTTAGGGATATAATCTACAATCACCATAAAAATTCTTATTAATAACAATTTATAGGGTCCGTCATTGAGCACTTGAAAACAAAACAAAGTTAAAATTAAATTCTCTAACTCAAATTCCATAAACTATTGAACTGCATACTAGAAAGAAGAAAAGACAGAACAATAAAACAACAACAAATAACTAAAAACTGGTTAAACCAGTAAAAAAAAACCCTCACTTTAACAGTGAAGAGATTATTCCAAGAAAATATCTTTGGGATACTTGTGTAACAGTAGTTTTGCTCATATATTTCTTTTCTATATATGAGAGTATAAGTGACGTGCAAGTAGAAATAACATAAAAAACGCAAAATTATTATTGGTGCGGTTTATTATTTGTTTTTTTTTTTATTTTCATTGATTTGTTTTTGTTTTTTTGCTATTTTAGTGGTTGAAATGAAATTTAATAAAAATGCTGAGTTTATTATACAAGTGTAATTTTCATTTTTCCTATTTCTTATCTTCTCAATTTTATTATTTTTTTCTCTTTCATATTATTATCTACTATAAAGTTATAACTGTTATAAATATAATAGTTATATAATA